ACTTTGTATTGCTCAATATTTATTTTTAATCAAACAGAACTTAGTTACCAAATTAGTTTTTCCAGGTAGAAAAATAAATGTTGAAAACGAATGAAAATTTTAATGGCAAGGAAAGAAATCCATGGTGTTTAAATAAAATCAATGATAATTTTCTTTAATGTAATAATAGTTTTTTTCACAAATGGCGTCACCATTATTGGAAATGTCTCACTAGATATTCAATATATATTCCCTATAAGTTCAAGATCCTGAAATACAATACGGAGAACATCAACCCAATCAAACTTGGTGAAGGAACTCTGAAAGATGTAGAAACCTTCACGTGCCCGAGAAGCATCATTGATAAACAAGGAGGATCTAATGCAGATGTAACGATAAAAATTGGAGAAACAAGGGCAGCATTTTTACAACTGAAGAACATATGGAAGTCAGTAAAACTGTCAACCAATATCACAGTCAGAATCTTCAATACCAACGTTAAGACAATTCTACTGTATTGAGCTGAAACTTGAAGAACTACCACAACTATCATCAAAAATGTACAGTTATTCATAAACGGTTGTCTACGCAAGATACTCAACATCCATTGGCTGGATACCATCAGCAACAGCCCTTTGTGGGAGAGAACATATCAACTTCCAGCTAAAGAGAAAATTAAGGAAAGTCCGTTCAGGTGGATAGGACATATATTGTGAAAATCATTGAACTGAATCACGAGGTTGAAGAAAAGAGGAAAACCAAGGAACACGTTGTGTCGAGAACCGATGGCAGACATCAAAATAATGACTGGCAACTGGAAAGGGCTGCCCAGAATAGAGCTCAATAGAGAATGCTGTTGAGTGGCCTATGCTCCTCTACGAGGGGTAACAGGCGTAAAAAGATAAGTAATTCTCTATAAATTATGAAACATTTATAATGTGAGGTGTAAACAACCTTAATAATAATGAATTGTTTTTGAAAATATATAGACCACTTGTATGGTAGTCTGTAATAAAAAAGGCAAAATTCTTTCTACATTTCTTAACCTTTGAATTCAAGTATCGAATTCATCAACACATGAAATTTATCAGGAGTTTCTTCTCAAAATAAATTAATTCTTAGCTGTAATATAATGCTAGCGTATCTAAATAAATGTGTTTTCATATAATGATTATGATCGTGTTTAAATATCCCCTTGGAATAGAAATTCACTGCATAAGAATAAGCAGTGTATTAAAACCAAGTTAGAGTTTACACGAACTGACAATCAGTAGTGTCAATGAGATAATTGATATACGATTGAGTAAGTGAAATTCAATTTCTTTTGTAAATTAAGAAGTTCTAATAAAAATATCAGACTCTTAACATATAGGATAACGAATAATTACCTTAACATAAATCAATGTTATATGTATTACTAATAGTCATTTTATGTATGATATCACATTGTTATGTGTAGTAAGAGATCTAAAAGTTTCAAAACCAACTTGATACTGTACTAACTACAAGCAAATAGATTGGATGTTAAATTCAGTCGTATGTACTATTGTAGTGTGTACTACTTGTGTCAACATAAGTAGCATATAACTCCAGTCAGGAATAGAATGTCAGACAACAGAAGGTTGAGAAGATAGTGAAGTAAAGAATGGGAACAGAAAGCAATTACTATGGAAATACAGGAACAATCAAGTTTGAGACAATTGATTGACATTTTACAAATTAAGTACTTACTGTATGTTTCTCAGATTTCACTAAGATGTTCTGTAATTTTGTGCTCAAATACATTCAATTGTTCCCATTTGTGTTCTCGTTCACTACACTATGAAGTTCCATTAAACACAAGTTCGAAAAATGACAAAATGTTCAAATATTAACCTTGGTTTTTAAAAACTAAATCATAGTTTTATACATTGTTTTAGTTGACAGTAGTGAAAAGAAATTCAAAAGAAAAGACAACATAAATATTCCATATTTAAATAGAATGTCACATTGTGGTGTGTGCTACTTATATTAACATAAGTAGTATATGATGTTAGTCGTGAACAGAAGGTCTGGAAGCAGAGAGACAAGAGGATCGAACAGTAAAGAATGGAAACAGGATGCAATTCATATGAAAATGCAAGAACAATGAAGTTTGAGTCATTTTGAGACAATCGGTGGACATTTTGCAAATTACGTATTTACTATTTGATTGTTAGATTTTATTAACAAGTCCTGTAATTTTGTGTTAAATACATTCGACTGTCCCCACCCGTGTTCTGTTCATTACAACATCAGCTTGTTTATCTTTATTTTGATTTAAAGTCAATAGTTGAAAGTTGGATATTGTTTAAAACTTATACTCAAATTAAATAAAACTTAAACTCTTAGTTAAATAACTGTAACCATCAGCAACAGCCTTCTGTGGGAGAGAACGAACCAGCTTCCAGCTGAAGAGGAAATTAGGAAAAGACGATGGAAATGGATAGGACATACATTACGCAAATCACCAAACTGCATCACGAGGCAAGCCCTAACTTGGAATCTTGAAGGGAAGCGGAAAAGAGGAAGGCTAAAGAACACATTACGTTGGGAAATCGAAGCAGATATGAAAAGGATGAATAATGACTGGAAGGAGCTGGAAAAGATTGCCCAGGACAGGGTTGGATGGAGAATGCTGGTGAGCGGCCTATGCTCCTTTAAGAGGAGTAACAGGCGTAAGTAAGTAAATGATCGTAAACTGATTAGTTTAACAATAAGAGAGATAGTGAAATGAATTTCTGAGTAAAATATTCAGTAAGTTTGTTATAGCAACCGTTTATCGTTTATTATGATTTTCTATTGTTAAAGTATTCAAAATATCCATAAAAACATTCAGCTGTAATTTAATCCTCTAAATAAATATGCAGTTTACTATTTGATTATATATTATTATTACTATTATTGTATGAAGGTTATTGAAATATGTTATTTGTAATATCACTGTATTGGCAATGTACTTTAACAAAGATATTTTTAAGAATAAATACAGATATAATTAAATACTTCTCTTAAATCATTTAAAAACCACATAAACAATAAGATTCTTCATTAGTTGAAATAGATAAAGAAAATTTCAAGAAATGTATAATTGCTGATATGTCAGTAGAAATACATTATGATTATATTTAGAGAAGATGTAATATTTTCCTTTGACGAACAATCTTTCTTTTTTGGTAATAAAAAATTTGGAACAATTAAATAGTAAAAATGTATACTACATTTTATGGTATTCATTATCTTGAAAATTAACTACTCTTTATTTAAAAGAACTTTTTACCTTCTCCTTACATAATATAAAGTTAATGAATCATTAGATCTAAAACTCTACATCACTGATCAGTATAGTATTAAATATCAACTCATGAATATAACCGAAACAATGTCGATATTATATTATTCAAAATCACTTGTTAATGGAAACAATCCTATTGTTCTGTGTATTTTAAGGAAGAAATTAGAAGTCCCTCTCTATCAACTTTTGCACTAAATTTTTTTCATATTAACAACAAAAAAACTTTCCTTTTTTTAAAGTGTCAATCTTTGTTAAACGTTTGTTGATTTACAGATATCATAATGACTTATATTCTCCAATACTATATTTTCTACAAAAAATTGTTTAGAAAATTTATCGTGATCATATTCCGATAATTATATGAGTACATAATTACCACTATTTATGATTTTTATATTGTCATATCAAAGATCATTTTTGACAGTTTGATGAAATTAGTACTTTTTCTTATTTGAATGCAGAATATGTTTGTTTCCGGTTACTAAACCTGAAGGTCTAATCCACAAGCTGGTAAAGCAACGTTATGAGATACAGTCTCGTAGGGATCGGTAAGCAACAATAGGTTGATACGCCATTTGTTCCCTAAGGATCCTGGAGCCCATATGCGCCGCTGTTTGGGAATCAGTGTTTTCCAACTAACTGTCATCGAGAATCACATTTTTGAGATTGATACTAAAAATATGAAGCTGGATATGGGTGTGTGTAAGCAAGTAGTAAGTGAAACACGACCATCAAGAGCATCAAAAAACGTAAATAAAGGCTGAATTAAGTGAAATAATTTATAATGATTTACCTATGTATATATACAATATATCAAGTGAAGTTGAACTTTCAACCTAAGATTAAGTGAAATAATCATTATCTCAGAAAATAGTTTGTCATATCAGTTAATGCAATTCATATGGACATGCATCAAATATATTCTCCGCATTCTACCAATCTCATGTGTAGGGCAATAATTCAAACACTGCAATAAATTTAAGGTTTTAACTTATATTAAGACATCAGAAAGAGAAACGTTTAGGTACCATCGGGGTTTTAATATGAACTAAGGGTATTAAATTATCGTTTTGAAGAGTATCTCAAGCGTTTAAATGAAACTATATCAACAATATCATTTCTCAACTGAAGCCTGAAGAAAAAATCGAGTTAGTAAATGTGATATATTTAACTTTAATCTTATTTAAGTCATTCAATTAATTAGAAACTTCTATAGATATAGTTTTTATCATGTTTCGTCAGAGTGAATAGCTACATTTCAGTGTATCTAACTTAATTTATATATTAATAAAAGTATATTTAAACACTGTCTTTACTACCCTATCGAAACAATATTTGACAAACACTTGATTTTTATAATTTCATCCTCTCTTCAATGTACAATTCAAAGTTACAATGATGACGTTGTCTTTTTTTTAAACATAGGGTTATAAGTTGTTTTTTTTTGAAAGTGATAAGAACAAACTATTGAATTTTGGCTCAGTAATTCAGTACTATAAGTACTAGAGATTTCATAATAACTGTCTTATTTTGTGTTTTATTCATTGTTGAGTTGAGTTAAACACGTTGGTGATTATGATAAAAGTTTAATAATACTTCTTATTATATCCATATTAAATTTCTTAGTTGAATGATAATTTCTAAAACTATATTTAATAATAATTTTACAAAAATATTTTTTACAAAAAAATTACAAAAATTTCCTCAGGATAAGATTTCTCAATAAATATAGAATAAAGATTGGATAATTTATATGGTGGATTTTATATGCGTGGGAGTCGATTCTTATAGTCGTCATATTTGAGTGGGTTAGTTAATTTTCTCTAATAACATGAGTTAAAATGTATTTTATAGACTATTGAAAGATGTAAACATATACACACGCACACACACACACATGCACAAATCAAGAAACCCTGTTCAAGTGATTTTATAAAATCATATTTACCAATATCTTAATGGAAATTATTTTACAGGGATTTGCATACGTATATATATGTATATTCTTGTAACTTGATTGTACTTATTTTCTTTACACAAAATCAACTTAAATGTTATTATTGAATGCTTATTAATCCATTAGTCAATTATCAGTATTATTATTATTATTCTCTTATACTCTATGCTATTAAACAATTTAATTATTTAATTATTAAACAATTAGTTAATTATTGGAACAAATTGACTTCTAATATTGAATTGTTCAATAATATTTAATTTCATTTGTCATGGACAAAACGTAATATTTCAATGGATCGTTTAAATTCATCTATGAAATATATACGCGTAAATTTTGAAAATTTATCATTGAAATCAACTGAAAGCGCTTACATCAAATGTGATCAAATGAATTCTTATAATAATAATAATAATAACATTGAAAAGGTTGAAATTATGAAAATTTTAAAAAACCCTTTAACACATAATATTAGTGATTATTATATAGAAGCAACTAAAAAGAAACATTATCTATTATTAAATAAAACTATACAAATTCTAATTATAATAATCTTATTTAATTATTCAATAGTTTACGTGAATAATAATCTTTGCATAGATGCTATGCATTTACATAATACTATTTTATCACCATTAACGGAAACGTCAACAGATTCAGAGACAATATTAGAATCAGATTCATCTACATTACCTACATATTTAATTGATTCACCTGTAGTCAAATTAATTAAAACTCCAAAAACTACACAACGATCTTATTTAGATAATGGATTACAATTAGAAAATAAAGTAATGCAAAGAATATCATCAATATTTCAAGATAAAAAGGCTATACAAGATTTGTTGACAGAAATGAATGCATATTATTTAACTTATGGGAGACCAAGGTTAGTTTTAAAATACGATTCAATTATTGTATAATAATAAAACCTTTTTCTAAATTATATATTTATCTGTTGTTTGTTTTAGTGCTTAATTAGATTGAATGTTGTAGAACTTATTTATTAATAATTGTAGTACAGAAGTGTAAACTTAAGTTCATTATTGAAAAATTTATTAATAAAATACAAAACAGTTGTATAGTCTTCGTTAAACATTTATTAACGTATATGAACTTATGGTAAAAATCACATCAATTTATGTATAGTATTATCAACATTAGTTTGATGGTATGGTTATAATTATACAACAAAAAATGAAGTTTCAAGTATTCGTGTAGAGTAATTTTGTATGTGTTACGATGTGACACATTTCCATTTGCCAGAAACTTTGAGTTCAAATATGAGTAATCTTTTTTGAAGTATAATCACCGTGAACCTAATTAAGCGTACAACCATAGATGAAATCGGATAACATCTATGATTTTCATTTAACCTTCCTAGTTATCTTTTTCTTCAGGGACGCGATAAAAAGGCGTTAATAAGTTACAAATAAACACTTTACAAAGTTTATCAAATGTACAATATTATTAAAATCCTAATTATTACATAATTTTATATGACTACTGAATTTAATGGCATTATACCATATAGAATTAATAACTAATAACTAAACTCCTTAATCACTAACTGATCATTTATTGATCTTATCATTTGTGTAGTTATATATTAACTCATTTTTAGTATTGTTTATTATTCGCAGTGGTCTAGTGGTTAAATGCTGGCGCGCAAAACCAGTAGCTCCCGGGTTCGAATCTCGCAGAGTGCGAGGTCGTGGATGCGCACTGCTGAAAAGTCCCATACTAGGACGAAAGGGCCATTTAGTGCTTCCAGGTTTTCCATGGTTGTCTAGCTTCAACTGACTCATGTTCTTAACCATTGAAATTACTATTATATCCACAAAACTCATCTGATAAAAAAGTTACTTTAAATAAAACACATTAATAAAATTAATATAATAGATTAAAATAAATGATTATGGTAAATGTAGTTTACATTATATTTACTGTCTATTTATTAATTTACTAAATAATAATAATAATGATAATACGATTTAAAAGAAAAATAGTAATTTTTAAAATATTAGGTAGCTATTATCTGAATAATTTACTTTTAATTATCTAATGTAGATTGTAAAATGTATATATAACTAAAAGAAAGTGAACGCTACCATTAATTACTACTTATCTTGTAGTATAAAATCAAGCATAACCGTTACTTTGTCTTTTGAGCATTATTTCAGTGTTTTAAGTATTGGATAGTACATTCGAGATCAGTAGTACAGAAAAGTGTCTTTTTAAGTGTTGTTTATCATGTTGAGAGGATGAAAACTAAATGTTGGACTCTTTAACCTGGTCGTTGGGCATGGAGGATCCATCTGTGCAAGTTAGTCGGAAAACCCTGATTCTTAAAATACTCTAATTATTCTGGAATAGTCAGCCTGTTATTGATAAGTACTGTATAGTGCTTGGTCTTTAAGTTTTGGGATTGATTCAAAGTAATTGTGTTCGTTGTTTTAAAGCTAAAATGAAAACTTATTAACTTGCTTTTACTGTTATAATACTTGTACACTGTCTTTAGTTATGAGTGTCATAAAACAACTATTTTTTAGTGTTTGTTATTTAGACAATTTGTTGTTAAAATATAGTTTTACTGATTAGCCATATGATTCAAAATACCTTTGGATTTATTTATTTATTATTTATTCAAACACCAAATATATATGCGCCTTACTTCGTCATTCGATTTTTGTGAGGGCTGAGATATTGCCTGGGTACCCAAACCAAAGCGGGTGATTTTCATAAGGGGGTCCACACCCCTAGTCTTTTATCTGAAGGTCTAATCCACAAGACAGTAGAGCAACGTCAAGAGATACAGTCCAATGGTAGCCGATGCCGAACTATAGGCTGATACGCCATTTGTTTCCTTAGAATCCTAGAGCCCATGTGCACCACTGTTTTGGAATCAGGGTTTTCCGAATAACTCCTCGAGATGAATCCTCTATATCCACGAACCCGGTTAAAGCTTCGGACATTGGCTTTTTGCCCTCTTGATTTCGTAGACAACACTCCCGTCACGAGAAGGCAGTAAGTAGGACTTTTCTGACAGTGGTTATATGCACGTGGGTAATGTTGAAAATTTGTAAAGTTAAATATCATCAATGATATTTGGAATTTTCATGACCTCAGCATTTTTTCATTGTTGTTGTTGTCGATTATGTTAAAGGTAATACTACACAATCTTCTCATCATTTAAATAACCATAATTAAAATTACTATCTACTTATATACTTAAATTAAACATGCAACATATATAAAGGAACAAATTTAATTTAACTGACCGGAAGTTTTAGTATAATATAACTATTATGAACTTATATAACTTGTGTTTCTATGAAGTGAAAGATATTTGTAACTTTCTTTTTTTCTTTTTAGTTAGATTTAATAAGGTCATATTTAAATAAAATTTTAATTTCACTAATGTATCTTCGCATAAGTAATTTTATAGTATACGAGTGACTTAAAAGAAAAGAAAAAAAGAAGAAGAAAAAGACAAAAAATAAGAATCACAAAGAATGATCGGTCAATAAGATAGTATTCAATCAATTGTATGTGCATTGAAATGAAAATGTTTTCCTATTTTTTTCGTTTTGTTTCGTTTTTTTAAAGAGTCTACATTTCAAATAATGTGGGTTTTTTTTAAAAATAATAATAAACGTGCAACACTTTTGTTAGTCAAGTAATTAATATTTTTCTTAAATCATTTTGTTTCTGTCGTAAGAAAAAACATTTTTTCGTGGTGGTAAGGTTTTATTATTAAGATTGTTGGGTCGCGTGTTACTTATGCCTGAACTCTGATTAACACGACACTCAGTGCTGACTAATGTTGAGGATGGATGGAAGAAAGTTAGGGATGGCCAAACCAAAAACGTGGCATCAGTACTTAAAGTCACTAACTTCTAACCTGAGCCATGTTAGTTGATGCAAACTACTTGGTTGAGGTCCTCATGACTATGGTATTCAATGATTGGAGACTCTTGGTGACATGGCTCAGAATCGATCACTATGGCGTAGGTGTATACACTTTCTGCATTCCCTTAGACTGTGAGATTAAAATCGCTTCATTTCTTTCTTTCTACGTACTTATTCTTTCTTCCTGTACTATATCCTTGTATGCAATCTTTCTTTCATATATTTCCACCATTGAATTAATTACTTCTATGAATTCGGCGTTCATATTGTTGTGCTAATGAGGTATAGCAACTTGGACCGATATATGTATGTGCCTGGTCCTACATTGTAGCTGACTGACTGACTTATTGTTAAGAATCAATCAACATCGATATTTATAGGATAAGCTATAAGCTATATGTCAAGAAATTTGAACATAATTCACTACAACCTCAAGTTTGTGATGATGATGCTGTTCAGAAGAATGATGAAAGCTCCATGACTAAATTATCCAGCTCAGAGAATGAAAGTATCAGAAAGTGTGATATCTCATTAGATTCTTTATGAAATTTGTGAGTCGATAATTTATAAAATAACCATAATTAAAAGTTTGGTATTGAATCGTCTATTTTTTTGTCTGGTGTCTGAGAATAAAGCAATCAACATTAAACGTCGACAGAATGTTGTTAAATATCAATGTTTTTATCATAGGATTAGTCGATTCACCAGTCACTTTGATATTTAATATTAGGAAATGAATAAAGTTTATTTTCTAATGTTGTAGGTTATTGTTTGATAAATAAACAAAATATGAAAATAAAAGTTGATATGTATCTGATATTATTGATTTTTTTTCACTAATTACTTTATGCGTAATAGTTATCAGAATATTTCTTGAAATAATTGACAGATAGAGTTAGATAAGTAACTTTCAATTATAGAAGTGATCAACTGCGCTTGACGCATATTCAGTTTGGTGATCTTAGATACCCGATAAAATGTTTGGTTAAAATTAAAGTACACAATCCTTCATTTGATTGCTAAATCGCATAATTGATATTATTAGAAAACTACTTAGAACGTCACAAGAAGTTTAATTTATTGTATCTGAGAAGAACTTGGAAGTCAACAAACAATTACGTACTAAATAATTGTCTTTTATTATGTTTAGAAATGCAATAAGTTTCAAGTTAGTAAAAATTAAGGTTATTGAAACAGTATCATGATATAAACTAGAATTACTTTTTTTGTATTCAATGCCGAATTTTTTAATATAATCAGTTAAAGACAATTACATTAGAATACATTCAATATTCACTATGTATCACTAATTGACAATACCACTGTTCTTAACAGTAGCATATTCAGTAGTATATATCTAAACAGAAGATTAATAAGTGATGAAAGTATAAACTATATTAAAGATATGTACTTAATACTGTAATTGTAATATTAAATAACATTATCTAGCTCATTACTAAGATAAATCCAACAAAAATATATGTCTTATTGTTTCTTATAGGCACTAAACATCATTGAATGTTCTTATGACATTTACAGAATACAAACATGCATATCGTAAAACATATTGAACTTCATTAACAATATCGAAGAATATATAACTGATAATTATTGATGTATTTAAATTATGTATGGTATAAATTCAATAAGGTGAGACTACAATTTATGGACGACCTATGAGAAGGGTCGAAGTGACCATGAGAGTGTCCACCTAATAACTGGGATCAAATGAGGGTTACAAACCAGTATGAGTTATTGAAATTATGATTTACAACTGATGGTTTAGGTTGGGGATTTTCATTATAGAAATAAGCTATAATGTCAAAACTCCATATAACCAAATGGGTGAATGAATTCCGCGCCAAAATTCGAGACTTATTATCATATATCTATACTATTTCTTTATGATTTAATATCATGAACTAGTATTGGACAATTATAAAAAAATTTCAAAAATCTACAAAAAACCCAGTAGGG